GCAAGAGGTGGAGGAAGGGAGTGGGGGGGGGAGGAGAGAGAGGAAAGAGAGAGAGAGAGAGAGAGAGAGAGAGAGAGAGAGAGAGAGAGAGAGAGAAATGAGAAAAGTTAAACCCCTACCAGCACATGGATGTATTGTTAACTAAGAAAGCTCATCTGAGTTTTTACTGGGGTTTCATTACATAGGCATGACTGATGGAATCATTGTCAACTGAATCTCCAGGATCCTTCCCCTTTCCCAGAAGTCAGGCTGATATCACATGACTCAAAGCCTCAAGCCTCTAATCACATAGTTGGCCTTTGTAGCTTGGCCAACACTTATCCTGAGTCATCGTAAAGTAATTAGGGGCCCCATCATGAGTACCTTCATTAGTGTAAACCTTCAGGGCCCACCATGAATAACAAAGACAGTCCTATCACTTTGGAAATTCTAAGGATTTAGAGGCTACCTTCCAGGAATGGAGGGGCATGCCACTTAAATTTTATTTATTATATAACAGAACCACACCAAGGTACATCATTGAAAAAAATTCAGAATGCCAAGGCAAAGAGCACATTCTAAAAGCTTCCAGAGAGAGAAACAGGTCACATACAAAGATCTGAAGATCAAATAATATCAATCTTCTGAATAGCAACACTGGTTGCTAAGAAACAGAAAAGCAATATCTTTAAAATTCTGAGGGAAAATTATTTCTAGCTGGTATTCTATACCCAGCTGAACTATCAACCAAAGATGTGGGTATAATAAAAACAATTTAAAAAATGCTAGGTCTCAAAAATTTTACTTCTAGAGTGCTTTCTCAGGCAGCTACTAGAGGATATGCTCCACCAATAGGAGGAAGTAAATAAAGAAAGAAGAAATGAGCTCCAGAAAACAGGGAAGCCAAAACAGGAGAGAAGCAACGGGAATTTCCAGGATGATGGTGAAGGGAAGTTGCAGAACGACAATTGTGGAGCAGGTCTAGAGATCAGTAAGTTCAAATTGGGACAGAAAGACAAATGGTTCCAAGAAGAGATGTTTTCAGGAACAAAATGCAATCAACTGACAAGTTTGACCATATGAAGTGATCTTTGTAGCTCTAGTGGGAATGTGTAGGGTTAAATTCATAGTATATACATAAAAATCTAAGCAAAAGAAAAAAATAAGATAACTCTGAAAAAGATTGTGTTAGAAAGAAATGTAGTTAGACTACTCCATACTTATATAGTTAAAATACTATAAATTAATACTATAAATACAATTAATACAAAATACTATAAATAAATTAAATATTTTTAAAAATTGAACTACAATTGTATTGTAAGAATAAGGGGAAGATCAAATATGTGGGGGTGGGAAGGGAAATACAAGAGCTACATCCTCTCTTTCCATTTTAAAATGTCAGTAAGAATTTAACAATCAGGAAAAAAATAGATTATCTGAACTGGTCAAAATATGGAAGTAAATAGGAGGGACAAAAAAACTGCTAAAAGTATAATTGCCTCTGAGATGTGGGAATCAGGAGTGGGGAGGGCAGGACAGAAGACTGCCTTTTTTTTTTTAACCTTGGCACACATTTAGTTGGTTTTTAAAAACTGTACATGCATTATTTTGATTAAAAATATATTTTTAAGAAAAATAAAGGAAATTAAAAACTGCAGAAAAATTGAATGCCCCTAGGGTAGCATTTGTTACCTTGGTGAATTCATCACCATCCTGTAGGTCTAGACATCTCTGCAGAAAGCAGAACTGTTAGCCCTAAAAGCAGCAGCGTCTCTATGAAGCAGATACACATTAACCAGGCTCATGAGACTGATATTTCAAATCAGATGCCAATTTATTAATTTACAAGGGGAAGCAAAGCTTTGAAGCAGACTAGATCTTCTTGTTCGCTGATGAATGCATTCTCTCCTTGGGGGCAGATCTACATAGGGAACAGAGTGGTTTTCAGTGAGTTGCTTAGTGATCAGAGCATGAGTGAGGTGGGGGTTGAATTGGGTGGTTGCAAAGAATGATGCCTCCATCTCCCTTGTTTCTGGACCAGCATCTTTGTCCCCAGACAATGCTAAGATGAACACTCTGGTGATTGCCTTGACAATAATTTTTGATCTCCACTTCATTGCCTGTCCAGACCCCTCCTGACTGTCACCTTTTTTTCTTTAGCTGCATTAATACCTCTATTCAGTTACAGTGTAGACTGGGCCTGACAGTTATTCTGTCTCCATCAGGTAAGTTGGCATTTATCTTTATGTTAAAGCATAAGAGTCTTCTGTCCAGTCAAACAGGCAGTACCTTTACAAAGCACCCATGATGTGCCAGGCTCTGTTCTAAGCCCTGGAGTTATAGCAGTCAACATGGTGACATCAGTCCTTGCCCTCATTGAACTTACAGTGTGATGAGGAAGATCAATATTAAACAAAGTGTAGAAAGTGAAGGAATGGCCTAATTTTCAGATGACAATTTGATTTACTTTATCTGAGTTCTTGAGGTTGGGTCGTCTCCTGGTGCCTCCAGATATCACCTACTACAATGAACCATGGGAAGGAGATTTTGAGTAGGGACTCTTGTCTAGATAGAGAAAGAAGACCTATTTTCCATGCATATATTCCCAGCTTCCCATGACCCTAAATCCCAAATCCTTCCAATAAAGTGATTTTCAACTTAAATTTATCTAGGATTGGTTTCTGTCACCAAGAACTCTGACTCTTATAGCAACCATTTCAGATATCTGTGAACCAGAGAACAAGTCACCAAAAGGCAGTTCTAATCCCTCTGCCTCAGGGCTGCAACCAGACCTGAAAACTTTCTGATCTGTGCCTTCCATTCAGTACAAAGCAGGGCACACAGGCTGTCTCAATAAAATCTGATTGGCTGAGTCACTCAGTAAGTTTACAAATACCAGCCAGAAAGTACTAAAGTTACAAAGCTAGTAAGAGCTAGTTGCTGCTTTCAAAGATGTCCCACATGCACCTTAGACCCAAGATATCCAAAACTAAGGATGTCATCTTCCTTGCCTTTTCTCCCAACTCCTGTATTGACTCACACCTGTGTCCCATGTTCCAACAGCACTGAATGGCTTGCACTTTTCCCTTCCCTCTGCTGAGATGCCAACAGTGAGTAGTTGGTGTTCTTAGACCACAGAGGTGGGAGGGAAGAAGACAGGCAGCAGGCAATCAGCTACTTGTAGATAGGGACCAGACCTTGAATGCCAGGTCTGGATGAATTGGCAGTTATCTCAAGTTACTTTCCTTGACCTAAATAAAGTAACCATACAGTTTAGCTTTTTCCTCTTCTATTCCTCTTCTACCGAAGGTAGTCTCTATGGAAAATGACATAAACAGCTTATATGTCCATCGTCTTGACAGAGATGCAACTGCAAGCAATGTTCCCACTTTACAGGTAAGCAAACAGTGCCTTCAAATGTCTTGGCTCTACAGCTAGCAAGTAGCAAAGCAAGGACTTGAACCAAGTTTCCGGACTCCAAATCCCCATTCTTTCCTCTACTAGAATAGCTCTCTCAGAGATTTTTGTGTGTTGTGTGAGGGAGGGGCGTCTCAGCCCTGACCTGGCCTCAGTGGAAAAGTTCTTCCCCTCACCACCAGCCCCAGGGGCTAAGTCAGTTCCGGGGCCTCTCCTCCTGGGCTACCTTCCTTCTCTAGATACTCTATCTTCTTAAATCCTCACAACAATCCTGTGAGGTTTTTATATTTGAAACTGAAGCTCAGAAAAGTTATGTTTCACGCTCCAAAGTTCGGAATCTTCACCACCTCGCCTTGCTACAGTCCAGGTTTGGAACACCTAGCTAACCGGCCAACCAGTGATGAAGCGGATGCCGAGGACCAGCCCCAGTTCAGGGCTTAGAGCCGCCAGGTGGCGCGGTGGAAGTGCGGCTGCTTCTCCACCTCACCCCCCGCGGGCCCGACGCACCTGAACTAAGCTGGGAGAGCCTGGGGAAGTAGGCTCGCGGGGTGGGGCAGGGCGGGGCGGGAAGTAGCCCTATTCCTCAGTCTACAATGGCAAGGAACATTGGGACCGCCCAGGCCTTGATAGAGTCACGTACCCACCAGGCGACCGCCAGTCTGCATCAGCTTGCAGCATGCCCTGCGCTCCCCAGTGTGCAATTCATTTTCGGGGTATAGGGACTAGAAGAGAGCAGGAGAAAGCAGCCAGAGGGGGTGGGGCGGAGACTCCACCGTCCCCACCTGTCCACTGCCGAGAGGGGGCGTGTCTGGGGCGGGGTTTGTCCCATAGGGCCCGCCCCGGGTCCCAGAGCACAGGGCGCGCGACGAGATATAAAGCAGCTGGGAAACAATGCGCCTGTATCGCGCTCCCGCGCGGATCCTAGTAGCGTCTGTAACGCCGTGCGCGGGCGAGGGTGGGAGTGCGCGCGCGAGGGGCGCGCTCTTGAATGCAGGCGGCGCGCTCGGTGGCGCGCATGTGCATGTGTGCGGGCTGTCGGGCTGCCCCGAGCCCGCCGCGAGCGGGTCTGCTCCAGGTGGCGGGCGGCGGGAGCGAGGTGAGGCTGCGGGCGGCCGGGGGACCGGCGCGTGTCCCGGGAGGGCGGGCTGCAGGCTGCCTTCTGGACACAGCGCGCCGCCGCCCGCCCTGACGGGCCCTGGGAGCTGCGCTCCGGGCGGCGCTGGCAAAGTTTGCTTTGAACTCGCTCCCCGCTGCCTCGTCCGCGCGCTGTGAGCGGCTTCCCTGGGCACACTGACCCAAGGCCGGGCTTCCTGGGACGCGAGGGAAGGGAGCGGGTTTTAACCCGAGAGGTTGGGGAGGGACGAGAGCTTGGTAGCCGGCTGTGCTGGGGAAATTGGGGACTCCTGCTTCTTTGGGCCCTTACCCCAGTCAGCACGTCCCTCTTCCCTCTCGCAGGGAGCGGACATGGACTTCGACTCGTACCAGCACTATTTCTACGACTATGACTGCGGGGAGGATTTCTACCGCTCCACGGCGCCCAGCGAGGACATCTGGAAGAAATTCGAGCTGGTGCCATCGCCCCCCACGTCGCCGCCTTGGGGCTCGGGTCCCGACGCCGGGGACCCGGCCCCTGGAATTGGTCCCCCGGAGCCGTGGCCCGGAGGGGGCGCCGGGGACGAGGCAGAATCCCGGGGCCACTCGAAAGCTTGGGGCAGGAACTACGCCTCCATCATCCGCCGTGACTGCATGTGGAGCGGCTTCTCGGCTCGGGAACGGCTAGAGAGAGCGGTGAGCGACCGACTCGCCACTGGCGCGCCCCGGGGGAACCCGCCCAAGGTGCCCTCCGCCCCGGACAGCGTTCCCAGCCTCGAAGCCGGCAGCCCGGCGCCCGCTGCCCCCTGTCCGCTGGGCGAGCCCAAGACCCAGGCCTGCTCGGGGTCCGAGAGCCCTAGCGACTCGGGTAAGGACCGCCCCGGGCCATTCGAGAGGGGGGCACCCCTTGGGTGGCCAAAACTCTGCCGCTGTCTGAGGTCAGGCACTGGGTCTTCGTAAACCCTTTGGCCACCTCCCCCTTTCTCTGGCTGTAGCTGCTGGTGTAGCCCCCAGCGGTGTCTGTCTGGCACGTGGGTGTGTTAGTAAACAGTTTGAAGAAGTGGCGTGGGAGCCAGCGTCCCTTTGATGATGATTGGAGCCCCAGGGGACAAGGGAGACTGGGTGAGGCTTGGCACTTAGAGAGGACAATACTGATATTTGGCTGTAGGGGATTTCTGTCCTCCGGAGGCTGGAAGGGGACCTTTAAGGGTC